TACTGAAAAATAAAAAAGCAGGTAAGTGGATGTCGCTCTGCTGTACAGTAGATTACAAGTGCGTCAATGTATAATGGACTGTATTAAACTTGAATTCAATGATATTCTATCATTGTATAAGAAAAATGATTCTGAGAGGAAACGGTTTGTCAGACTAGATATTTAATATTGTCATTAATTATTATATCATGTAAGTTAAATTTATATTATAATATTATTATTTTTTATTCGTTTTTATGGTAATAAACAAAGCGTAAGAAATTAAAATCCAAATTTTAGCGGTTTTTCGTAATTTTAAGTGGTTTTTACCGTGGCATTAAATAACTATTAATAACTAATAATATTATACGCTCACAACAAAATAACTAAAATAGTTATTCTAGGTTTTTATTATGTAATTTCGTCCAAATTTGAACTTAAAATGATTATGAAAATAAATAGTGTTTGTGTGTTTTTAGATTTTTGGTAACAGAATTAACTACTTACAAGGAATCTTGTTTTAAATTTTCAATCCTTAAATAAAAAAGTTGAAAAATGTATACATTTTTAACTACAAAATAATTATTCAATTTTAAATTATGTCAAAATTTGATCTTTAAATGCTTATAAAAAAAAATTGTGCCTATGTATTTTTAATATTTTTCAACTGCTATTGTAACAATATACCAGGAGCCTTGTATTAAATTTTTAAATTTTTTGCTCTAACAGATAAAACTTTATTGATATTCATAGAAAAAATTAATAAAAAAATTGAAAACTGACAATGCCCGTAAACAGCTCAAAAACCGTCAAAATATAATCTAGAGTCATTCGTTTTTGAACTATATCAAAATAAGAAAATCGTTGCATGAGAAATCGAGTGGATAACAAATTTTGTAAAAATATGATTTTAAAATGCTCATAAAAATTTAATTTCACTTTCCAGTAGATATTTTTTTTTGATAAAAGTAGGCAAACTTATGAAAAATCTTGTACTACATTTTCCAATCTTAGATTTAAGAAGAAAAATTTTTATGAATTTCTAACTAAAAATAATTCGGAAGATTTCGTGTTTTTTCCGTATTTTTTCAATATTTGAACTTTAATTGCTTATTAATAAAAACTGTGGCTAAGGAATTTTAATATTTTTCAAAAGTCGTTGTAACAACATAATAGGAGCTTTGTATTAAATTGTCAAGCTTTTTTACCCAAAAAATAAAGTTTTATTGACATTCATAGAAAAAAAACTAAAAAAGTTCGAAACTGAATATATCCGTAAACAGCTCAAAACAAGTCAATATTATTTGAAAATTTTTTCATGTATAGAAAAGGCTAATATAAATATTTAGTGAAAATTTCATGTATATATGTTCATTTGTTTTTGAGTTACACCAAAAACCAAAATCGATTTTTTGGAAAACCGATTTTGCGGAAAAATTCCCGTTTTTCCTTAATTTTTATGTTGTTTATCTTTCTTTAATTTTAAAATGTGACCTCCTGAATGCATCAACTAGATTCACTTTCCCATCGAACAAGATACTGTTGAAGAAAATCGAAGCAGTTTTAGTGCCCCAAACCGCGATGAGACAAAAATTAAAAATTAAAAAATTAAAAAACGCATCATTGTAAAATCATTACATCGTTTCACTCAGAATCTAAAATTGTCTTATAGTTGGTAAGAATCTATCTATCTATCTATTATCAATATATATATATATACATGAATGAATGTTTCTTTGTCCTCTATAGACTCAGAAACTATAGACTATTTTCAATAAAAGTTATATCAATAGATTCCTTGAGGCTCAGCGGGTACTTATAGCTTATTGTTTTAACCCGCATAGGGGTTTTATTTAGGGGGCCTAACAAATTAATTTTGTTTTGACTCACAAAAATCAAATATTATTTTGTTTATTTAAATTTTAAATGACTGAATAGAGATTATATAACGATTAGCATGGCATAAATACAAATATATAAAAATAAAAATAATACTTATGAGCACAACAATTACAAAGGTTACTTTTATGATTTGCTTTATTCTTGATATTATATTTGTTATGTAAATTTATGTCGCCTTTTAAGAATTTGTTGAATCTGTCTCCGGTATTTTAGTATTTATATCAAAAATATATCCAGAATTAAAAGTGAAAATCGTAAAATTAATCATTGTAATTACTGTGTTAATATTATATTGTATTATATATATTATTTCAACTGAAGAAAAACAGAAAACCATAGAAAGATAGATTCATTTTAACCTGGCAGTCTGGTATACAACTAGTAATATATTTATATATATATATAATAAATAATAATAATAATACATTATACATATAACATTAAGATTATTAAATCACCTTCTTAATGGTTAAATATGGGTTAGGTACCAATGTGATTAACTGATAACTGATAATATTATACCCCTTACATTTGACAACCCCGATAGTTAGTAATGGTTAGATTAGTAGTAGTACTGATTCAGGGAGTGGGACATATTTATGGGAGGGGCCCACAACCCCCCCATACTAGGCATACATATATATTTTATTAAGTACCAATCATAATAATCTATGATTGGTTGAAATTGTATAGTGGGGCCAAATGTGATAAACTGTAGCTGTTGTTGAAACATTATCATTTATCAGTTTTCATTAACGAATATTTTGAATAACTGACACTTGACAGTGACATTGCTGTATGTTAACAAGAGTTGAAAGCCTAAGACTTAAATTTTATTAATGTGTGCATTGTCATGATTTAATGTTTTTAAAAATGATTTCTTGTACACCCAATAAAAAAGCAGGACACAAGATAACAATTTTTTTTTAAATACATAGTTTTGGAGATTTAAGATCAATAAAAAACATTACAATTATTGTCAACTGATAGAAATAATCCTTGAAAAGTTTCAATTAGGCAATGTGTATTTTTTTTATAGCTTATACCATTTATATAACTTATTAAAATTTAAATAAATCAGCCGCCTTTAAAATATACATAACTATTTTTGGTAGTAACACGTAGACAGTTCAAAGCAAAAGTCAAAGTTCTATATTGTTATAAATCTCGAAACTCCAATTTAAAATTAAGCCTTATTCAAATGTAATTGTGTAATAACAATATTTCAAGAAATTTCAGTTTAAACAAATTAAATTAATTCATGATCTCAATATGCTGGGCTATGAATTTTACGAGGTTTTTGTTGTTGTTGAAAAATAATTTCTGGGACCATACATGTTTCATGTTACAGACTTCTAGATATAATAAGGCATAAAGTTACAGACTTGAGAGAACATTTTTTTGAAAACCACACAATAAAGAATAAAGAACACATTTTTAATGACATGTGAGCATCCTATTTTTAACAATACAATAGTTCATATCTAACAACCAACATACCTTGTTTTATCAAATTAAATGTTGTTAATATTTAAGACTATCTAATTTCTAAATATTCATATTCATATTTTGAGTTCCTAAATGTTATATAATCATCAAGGTTTAACAAAAAAATTATTTGATAATTAAAATACAAATATGATATAATATTTAATATTTATAGCTGCACAATTTTTTGACTGTGAAAAATGAAAGCGATCAAAGCTCAAAGACTATCAGAAATTATACAAAACAATCAAGTTTTTATCAACACTTAATTAATTAAATAGTATATTAAAAATGAATTTTTATCATCTTATCAGTTGGTACAATTATTTAAAACAATTTTTTTTTAAATAATATTAATGTTAGATGTTCAAATGTCAATGTACATAATAATTGAACTAAATGAAACATTTCATTAACCAATATCAGTTTATGTTTTAAACTATTAAGAGTTTATGATTAAATTATTTTTATTTTATATTTATCTATTTAAATTAGTATATTTTTGTAGATTATATTAAATTGAATTACTGAATGCTTCTTTCCATTAATTAAGAATAATTATGAAAAAAATTTGCCAGTATTTTAACTTTTAATGTACATGCTAATTGATTCTCAATAACCATGTTATTTCCACTATTATCATAATTATTTTTATTATTGATAAAGTGCCCAATTTAGTGATTTATTTTAATTAATGTGATACTACCTATATTTTCACTAATTAAGTTTTAATTTATATAATATGTCGAGTTCTTGCAATTAATTTTAGGTCTATGTTATGGTTTAACATTTAACATTTTCTACATTAAACAATACTTAGTATAATAAATTAATTAATCCTAACTTCATTATTATTGAATACTTGATATATATAATTCTAAGGCTAAGGTAAAAATAGTAATAGACATAAATTTACCTGAAACCATCTCAGATATGGTGATATTAGAGCAGATAGTTTCATACATTTTAAACTTGTTACAATGACTATTTCCAAATAATAAATGAGATGCTGTCGTCAGTTAATTGATACGTAAACTTCGACAAACTAAATGTTATTACTTTAACGGTAGAAAAGTGACTAAACACTCCACAATGATTGCATCAGTGTTTGGCCAGCTATATAAAATAATAGATTAGAGCTCAGGATACTTCAAAGCTGCTGTAGAGTGTAGCCCAATGAATATTTTGATCGGAAACCATAAAATCACGTCTGTTATCTATAATTTTTTTTTAGACACATTGTGTAGCTTTCTAAGGATTAGTTATAACTAATCTATATGTTATTGATAATGATGTGCTTCAGAATTCAAAACACTAATTATTAGGTAGTCCATGTATTTTTAATATAGACACCTTAAAAACTAACAAACTTAAGGCATTTGTAATTCAAAAACTAACAGTCAGAAATTATTACGATTTTGAATTTTGCATAAGAAAGTAATATAGATTCATAATATTAAAGAACAATTCAAGTATTTTTTTTTTATTAAAAACACACTTTTCCGCAATGATTTTAATTTTAAGTAGGTAGGTGCTTTTTCAACATGGTTGCTATATATAGTTGCATACTTTTCTTTTTGTTAATTCTAAAAAGTAGTATTATTATTTCATAAATAAAAAAAAATACCTACCATCGTTTTTATCGTACAATTTGTCTAGGTAATCTAATAATTTTCCAGCCATGTCACTCCTTGTTAATTTATCCCATTCTGTGTCGTTTAAATTACATATTGCTTTAGAAGAAAGAGGAGTTGTTGGCTCGTTGCTTAAAAGCAACGAGCAGCTTGGTTGTACTACTTGCGACATTCCTGACATTTTGTAATGGATTGGGTATATTATTATATGAAGTGAAAAATACGCTGCTGATGATTTTCGTTGATATGTTCTTGATGGTGGCACCATCTTTGAATAAGGAAGCCATATTGGCACTAAAAAAAAATAATAAAAACAATTAAAACTAATACTTCAGAACAAGAAATACATTGTCTAACTAGACATGAAATAGGTATTTTTACATTTAAAAATATATTTTTTTACACCTTGCGTCCTTTAACTATTTTATTACCCAAGATGATATATATTATATATTATTTAATACCTATTCATCATAAATAATTTGAAAAATAATGACACCAATAGGAAAATTTAATTTCAATTTGGTAGTTATAATTAAAAATAATCTCTTTACAACTCTTATAACAAATTGTTAGATTATAAAATACATATTTAATATTGACAGAATATACAACTCCCAGGAATTGAAACATTGGTAGATTAAGATTCTCGATACTTTGAAAAAAAAAGCTCTTATTAGTTATAAACAATTATTTTCTATGTTAACTCAACATTTTAATATTTTTCAATAGGTACCTTTAAATTTTGAATTTCTGAGAGTAATAAACAATGAGTAATAACTAATATGCTATAAATAAGTATTACCTACAATATATTTGATACAAAATAATAAATTCAGGTACATGTTAATAAATATTTACGTTGTATTAACATGGTTTAATATAACCTTGTAATTTTAATTAAAAATACATATTATTAATTTTATATTATTATCAAAGATAATGAACAAATAAAAATTAATAAGAGCTAGTTTTCACTGAACCTAGTTTATCTGTATTTATTCATTAAGATTAATACCATTACATTATTAATACACTAAATTTTGTTGTACCTCCTTTAAAGTTTAAAAGATAAGAAAACTACAATCCTTATAATAGTTTACTACTTGAATATTAATTAAATATATATAATATATGAGTTTAATGTGCTACACTTATAGTATTTTTATAGTCTTGGTTTTATAACACAGAAATGCTACAAACTCAACCAATTCATAATGTCATATGACATACAGATAATATTTAATATGGTACCTAACCTAGGTATCTAATTCAATTTTATGGTGTAAGAAATGTTGTATTTTAGTATTACATGAAACAATAAACAAGACTACCTACCTCTTATAATAATAACAAAATATAACATGTAGGAAGCAAAATAGCAATTTTACCTAGGTAATATCAATCGTAAATGTTGTATGTGAAAATAACATTCAAGATGAATAGATTGCAAAATTTAAGAGAAAGTTGACTATCAATCACCTACATTCTACAACTAATTGGTGGATACATTAACCTTAAGGAAAGAACGAGTAGAGTAGAAACAATCAACAACAGTGATTGATTTTTTTCCTAAGCCTTGGCAAGGGCGCAACGAGCAAAAAAATTAAGGCCATATACGTATATCTCAAAAAGTGTTGGAACCGACATTGGAGTAGTTCACAGAATAATTTAAATTAAATTAGAGTTATTCTGAGGTTGTATCGTCCACCGATTGTATTAATGGTAGGCGAGTCAAATAATGGTGAGTAAATGACGACGGCTGTAATACTGTTGTGGGTACGTTTAGGGCGATTGCAGTGGTACAGTCGTGGTGAGTGGGTGTCCAATATTATCGTCACCGGCAAACAAGTCACAACAAACCACTCGGTGACACGCTGCTCGTATGCGTCAAGTGTCAACGGTTGTGACTTGTGACGCGTTTCCGAGCTCATGCTCAGGGCCCGCGAAAATGCGAAATCGGCGCAGCAGCCGTGCACGCACCCACACCGACGTCCGACACTACGTCGTGTCGAAGGTTCACGCGACCGGTCGGAAGACGGCCATTCGCCATAGCTATCACCACCACTGCCGCGTCGCAGGCCGATTATTATTTAAATTATCGGAGAGCCGGCCTAAGACGTCGATCGCGGTGTATACGATTTAGTACCCCTACTATTACACTGTATTCGACTGTAATCGCTGCGTTGACGACTCAAACAAACACAACGTATCGTATCCCAATGACATAGGTAGCCAGGTAGGTTTTAATAATCAAATCACTCACCTCGCCGTCGCGGGCATGGTCGTTTTGTTGGGTTTGGGCACACGGCCGTGTGCGGGCTGAACGGTGTCTGCGGGGACCCCGAAATCACTTCATCTTGGTGGTGTCTCGTGGCACGCTTGCAGTGGAATATAGATCGCTGTCGACTGAAACGCGGTTATAGCAGAGGTTAATGGCAGAATCGTTTGATCAGAGAACAGCTTACGGGGTCATAAGTGAAAGCGGTTATAACTCAAAGTGAACGAAAAAACGGAGCGTCGTCAGTGCGTGTTGCTTGTGGCTGTGGTCGTATATAGGTGGTACAGGTAGACGTAGAGGTGGTAGTATTGTGGTAGAAGTATCGGTGTGGCTAGAAGTGAGCAGTGGCAGTCTGTAACGTAGACGTGGCGGACGGTAGTTTCCGCGTTTCCGTGCGCAGGTCGCAGGGGTCAGCGTGCCAACAATCGATTGTGGCGACGCCTGCCGCGGTGAACAAGGTGCTATCGAACACCGAATATCGATATTATAATACATAAGATTAATATAATATTATTATTATTTATTGTGATTTGTGAATTGTGGCCGACTCGGAGAAAATATTATAATTATTGTCTCGAACGTTTCACAATTTTACACGTTCCTCACACACAAAAACAGTTATTGAGGGATCTGTTGTAATAAAGTGTTGTGTTCATTTTTCCCTCCCCCATATCATATATTATTATTTCTACGGTACTATAATGGTGTGATTGCGTTCCGAAATCATCCAATACCAATGGTCTCATGTAATTATATCGATGTAAAATGTAAAAACATACGTTACCATCGCTTTGTGAGCACGCACTTGTTTAACCTGTGCACTTTGCTTTGCTTATCGAATATCGATAACATTTTTATAAACTTTTATCTATTTTGTTATAATAGGTAGGTATGATTATTATTCATGGAGGTTTTTTATTTTTGTAAATATTGTCTGATTTCTACGACGCATATCGCACATGGCTTTTCGGCGATCTATAGGATCGCGTGATTTTTATTGTTATTTGTGATTTTATAATAATAATAGGACGCGTATATTATTATAATAAACAATAATATTGATAAAAAAAAATTAACTGCAATCGCTTCAGATATGATAGGTAACATAATTGTATCGGTAATCGAAAAAAAACCCCGTATAAAAAATTACAGAAAAAAAAATTCCCAATACTTATCTAGTTAATAAATTTAAAATTGTACATCTTAGAATACTCATAACTCGCTTTAAAATTATAATATAATAAAAAAAGCCTATGATATTGCCTGGATCTTACCTTTATATTTTATAAGAGGTCAATTCACTCTAATTTTTAAACTAACGTGATCTGCTGAGCGCAAAATTTTTTGTTTTTAAATAAGTATTTTTATTTTAGATACCTACTGATCGGAATGTATTGATTTTACAATGACGTGTGTTTTGTTTTTATTTTTTATTTTTAGTGTGTTTACACGATAACGAATAAGTAGTCGAAATAATGCTTCGATTTTCAACTTCAGTATCTTGTCGATGGGAAAGTGAATCTAGTTGGTGCATTGGAGAGGTCAAAATTTAAAATTCCCAGTAGTTTTCAAAAGCGTCGGGAAAACAAAAAAAAAAATTAAGGAAAACCGGGAATTTTTACGCAAGATCGGTTTTTGACAAAATCGATTTTGGTTTTTGGTGTAACTCTAAAACAAATGACCGTATCTACATGACATTTTCACTAAATTTTAATATTAGCATTTGCCATATACACGAACAATTTTCAAAATATTTTGATTTGTTTTGAACTGTTAACGGACATTTTGAGTTTCAAATTTTTTTAGTTTTATTTTCTATGAAAGTTAATAAAATGTTATTTGTTGAGTAAAGAAGCTTGAAAATTAAATACAAGGCTCATATTATATTGCTATGATAACATTTGAAAAATTTTAAAAATCCATAGCCACAATATTTTTTTATAAACATAAAATGTTCATATCTTGTCAAAATACTTAAAAATCACTAAAAAGGTGCAAATTATTCTGTGTTAGAAATTTGCATTTTAAATCTAAGATTTGAAAATGTAATACAAGATTGCTCATTTGTCTACCTTCATAAAAAAAAAAATATAGAAAAAAGTAAAATTACATTTCGACATACGCAACGAATAAGGCAGTAAATCAATTTTTCAAATTTTGTTTTTTTCTATAGGGTATCACTGTTTTTCTGGAAGTCCAACGAAGACAGTGGTACCCTATAGAAAATAAAAAAAATAATTTGGAAAATTGAGTTACTGCCTTATTCGTTGAATATGACGATTTTTATGAGCGTTTGAAGTTCATATTTTTACAACATTGGTTAATATCGATATCTCATGTAGCTATTTTCTTATTTTGTTGTAATTCAAAAACGAATAACTGTAGATACTTGAAATTTACACCATGTTTATTTTATGAATTCCTGTAAATCACAATTTTTTTTAAATATTTTGTCTCATTTTGAACTGTTTAGTGTTTAGGTACATTATCAATTTTCAATTTTATTATTTTTTTTTCTATAAATGTCAATGAAATGTTATTTGTTGAGTAAAAAAGGGTGAACATTTATTACAAGGCTCTTCATATTTTGTTACTATAGCTGATACCTAGAAGTTGAAAAATATTAAAAACTCATACTCACAATTTTTTTTTAAAGTTTTTGAATTTTGAATTTTGACAAAATTTATCAAATTTTAAATTTTAAAATTATTTTGTAATTGTAAATTTAAAAAATATTCATCTTTTATAGCTAATGATTGAAAATTTAAAACAAGGTTCCACGTAAATATGTTATATATAAATTACTTTATTCACAATAATGTTATGGTTAGTGGTCACGGTTGTGAGTTGAGACTGTTAAAGTGGGTAATAACTCCCAAATATTCTGAAAATAATCTAAAAGATATTTGGAACAGAATTGATTCTGAAGACATCATTAATAAATTAGAAGCTATAGGAGCCCAGTATTTGGTAGAAGGTTATTATTTAAAAAATTAAAAAATAAATAAATGATTTTAAAAATGTGTTTTGTTGTACATTGTTTTCTTTTGATATGGTAGCTCATATAATTCAAATAATAATGTACTTGCGAGCGAAGTGAGCTAATTTTTTTTTTTATGTGGGCCAGGGGCCCCTTTTAATAATTTCCCGGTAGTCCAAAAATGGCCTATCCGCCCATGTAGGTACTTCCTATACCTATGTATAAATAAAAAAAACACATTTATATAGCAATATCATATAGGTAATATAATATGTATCTATTTATCAATATTATCATAATCACCATTCAAATTATATATTTTTTTATTATTATTAATTTTTATTTTTGACAGCTGTATTCAACAATTAGGTATAGCTTTGGCGATTTTTTTCCTAGGATTTTTATCCTAGATTTATTGTACCGTTATAATAATTATTAATATAATATGTGTAGTATACTAATATAACATAATGTGTATATATTATATAATATAATATGCATAATATATAATATACAGAGTGATTCATTTAAATATTTAATGTAAGACACTCATTATTTAGGAAAACACTTACGTTTTTGAACCTATTTATTTTATATACCTACCTAATTTTAAATCGTTACAAAAACAACTTTTTTAATAATCAAAATCAAATTTCGGGTAGATAAGTAATTTATTTGTTACAACTTTACAAATATTTAAAAGTTGTGTGTGCTGACCAACATTTCGCAAGGTTCTCTTACACAACTCCACTCTGCTCATCAAAATTTTCAAATGTACTATGATAACTTATAAACTACTCGTCCGAAATTCGATTTTTATATTTACATCGAAAATACTCCCAAAAATATAACTGCTCTAAAATAATGAATTAAAAATGTAAGTTTTCATAAAAAAGTAAAAATAAAAATTATAACAAAAAAAAAAATAGTAAAATTAAATTTATTTTAGAAAAATTTAGTTTCTTAACATCTTTAAAATATGTAAAAAAAAATATTTTCTAAAACGTTAATAGTTTTTAAAATAATGAGTGTCTTGTGTTAAATAGATTCACCCGGTATTTATATAATATGATATTTGTTATTTAATTTACTCCTCTCCACTGTCTGTTAATTAACCGTTATCGGTCCGGACGGTTCTTAGAATTTGAAAACATTTTAAATGAAAATAATAATATTATATATTATTATTTTTAATCATAGAATGTCCGTTGTACATTTTCAGTTCGATGGTGCAAAATATTTTATCGATACATTATTATGTGTGCTTGAACTAGGTATAAAAAATTATTTTCTCGTCAGGTTTATATTTTAGCCAGTAGTTGATGTACCTCCGCCGTAATAATATTTAGAAAGTTTATTGAACTGAATAGACCAGTAATAATTATTGTGTGTGTAAACGTGAGCGATTGTAATCGCTCCCAATAGATAAAACTCGATCGTTTAAAATATTAAATAATATTATAATAATTATCAACAATGGACGACGTAAATTAGTTAAGTCTCTATTGACTCGATTATAAACGGTTTAATTACATTATTATATTATTTTCTCGGATAGGGACTATTATATTATATTAAAAAAATTAATAATAATAAAACACGAGGACGCATGACACATATTATTGTGAATCACGTGAATGGCTGGCTCGCAGTTGTATTATAATAAATTTAAAAGTAGTGGTCGATTTAGGGGGGAGTTGTTGGGAGGTGAAGCACCCACCAGTCCACATTTTGAACTTTTTTTTATTATAAATTACTAAGATATCACTATAAAAGTTCCTGTAGAACTAAAGGTACTAATTGTAGACCACTGATGTGGTGTGCCCTACTGCCAAAAAAATAGGTTAATTTGGTTTTTACCCCGAAGTTGTTCATGATAAGTAGGTAAGCAAATATATTCTGGTTGTATTTGATAATATAAAATGTATTGTAAATATAATAATATTATGCTTGCAAGTTGCAATTTAAATTCATTAGGCATTGAGTAATTTTAGATTCTGAGTGGAACGATGAATGTATTGATTAATGATTTTACAAAGATGTGTGTTTTTTTTTTGTGTCTGTCATCACCTTTTAGGACAGTAAAAGTGCTTGGATTTTCTTCAACAGTATCTTTTCTGATAGGAAAGTGAATCTATAAAAAAAATAGTTGGTACTTTGGGGGGTTAAAAGTAAAATTTTCTCAGAAGTTTTCAAAAACGCAGTGAAAAACAAA